CGCGTAGTTGCTGCGTCAATGTCAAACCCAAAGGGGTCGCGTACGCGATGGAGAACATCTAAATTAATGTCCATAAACGAGATTGAAACAAAAGACTCATTATATCGTAGAGAACGCATGACAGAAAGAAGTTCCAAGGCAGAATATTTACGGCGATCTTTACTATTTGCAGGTTGTAGTAAACGGAAGCACGGAGCGTCATCGCAGGCGTAATCAATTGTATAACGTATATTCGAGGTATCGATGTCATAGGCAGCGCAATATGCGGTAAGAGTGCGGTCGAAACCCCCGTGATCTTGATCCATGTACATTAATGGTGTGATTTGGTCTTCTACATGTTGAGGGACATTAAAGATAAACGGTTGCTGAAGCCATTCAGGTCTGAGCCATTCCGCTCTCTGCCGTATTAAAATAGCGATCTCGCTGGAAAACGATGAGGAAAGATGCACAGCGAAAGGATGGCACAGTGGTACACTATGAACATGTTAGCGCATTCTACGCATAAGCTGGACCGAAGGCATAAAGAAACCCGTACCGGAATATTAATTGAAAAGCATCATCACCCCGTTGCATTGACAAAGATGTTAACGTCATAATCCCAAATGACATGCTCACATCCAACTCGGTTAGAGAGGCGACCGAACTCCGGTTTGATGACTTCGGAAGGAGTATTAGGTGGATCTTGTGAACTCCGATTGCCAAATAACACACATTTGATGTGAGCTTTGCCAGGTCGTCATTCGATGACCTACCGCCGGATTTGGTGGACACGCGTTGCACAACTTTGTACATCCGGAAACAATCTGGGTCGTAATCTCGTTCCTGTTCGAGGGCCCGGGCAACGTATTCCACGGACTTCTGGTCAAATTTAGGGGGATCAATAGCCCGTATTTGGTCCGCTGCTGCGCGTATCCCCGCTAGCCATAATTCCGACTCTCCCGGGTCATTGAGCTGCAGTAGCAAGGACGAAGGCTTGGCGGATCGTTCGTCCATGTGGCAGACCTCAATGGAAAAGTAAGGTCGTCCATCATCAAGCCTGTAGACAGCCACGATGCTGTTCAAGGGTATTCCTGACGTAAGATCTGAATGAGGTGCCATGTGGGGATCCTGAAAGGAGGCAATTGAGACCATTGACTGTCTGTTTGTGACCGTAGAAGGTGAAGAATTTCGACCCCAGGTCGCAGGAATTGACGGAAAAACTTCCGCTGCCTTCGACTGGTTTTTGAACCTAACAAGGTGTGTATCCGTCAGGACCAAATACTGACTCTTCTTCCGCCACATGCCACCCGTTGTCTGGACTTCACCATGGTGTAGGACTTGGGTGCCCAGTAGGGACTTCAGATTTGCCAAGTTGGTGACCGAATCCTCCTCATCGCCCGAAGATGCTTTGGAACGGGTTCTTGTAGAGGGCTGGTCGTCATCGAGGGAGCCCAGCGACCGCAAGGACCCAAACACAGATTTTCGCATGGATTTCTGGAAAGATTTCGATCGCGGATGGGAACTGTCCTCGGATGATATTAAGGCGAGGCTTTCCTGTATAAAACCAAAAGTAAATTAGGGGCAGAGAGAAAAAAAAAAAAAAAAAAAAACTAGAGATCTCAGGCCATAATTGGTGGAACAATGCGCCCATGCTAGAAGCCGTCAAATAGGTTACAGATACCTAGACAGGTAGCATAGAAGATGCTGAACAACATAATATTGGTGCACAAAATGATAAATAGAGAAAATCATGGCAAACTTTGGGCTGTGTGCAACTAACCGTGATGAAGAGCGAGCCACTACTACTGGCAGGACGCCCGGTGCTTTTCCACAACCTTTGCTTCGCCTTTTGTGGTTGCGAATCAGAATCGTGTTTCTCACGCCAGCCATCAGAAACAGATCGATCATGACCCCGAGGATTTTTGGCCGAGCCAGCGAAGCCAGAGCCCAACAGACCCGTTGGGCCTAAGATACTTAAACTTTTCCTTCGCTGAGCTTTATTTGGTATGTCCGTCATGGTGAGAGTTCAAAAGTATAAATAATAATTAAACAAAACCCAAGAAACCGGGTTCCTGATTCCCGAAGGAGCCTTGAACAGGAGGGACAGGCGAGGCTAGAAGCAAACTATTGAAATCAATTGAATTGAAATGATTGGTAGTTTGACGGAGAGATTTGAGAGAGAAGAAGCGATATTCCCCATACAGTCACATCCAGTGGTCCTCTAAGGAGTACGGAGTACAGGTCCCCTCCTTGGATGAGCTATCGTAAGCGGGAGCCAATGGTTCTTTCAAAACAAAAAAACAAAAAAAAAAACCCTACCGCTGCTTGTCTTCCAATGTCTTCTAGGGAGGCGTGCACAACTGCTAGCCTCATCTAGATCAGCCGATTGAGAGTAGCCTGGCTAGCTGAGAAAATGCCATGCCGAACACAGCGCTTTGTCATTGATCAATTAGCGTCCTGTCGTACAGTAACTAGAGGTTGGTCGTTGGGCAGATGGAATGGGCGTTTTCTGCAAGGTGCTAAGCACGTCGATGCCCCCCCCAATTTCCAAGACGACACGATGGATTCGATTCGATTCCTGGATTGGCTGGCAGCCCGTGCAGCAACAGAGAAGGGAGAGGAGGAGAGGAGCAGAGGAGAGAAGAGAAGATTACAGAGTCGAGAGGGGGAGAGCATAGAAGGCCAAGTTCATGGAGTCGAAGGTTGAAGTTGGAAGAAAGAAAGTGAAATATGTCTTGGAAAAGCAGAAATGATGTAATTATGCGAAACAGCACCAGTACGCCAATGTCAATACAAATTATACAGTGTATACGGTACATGCAGAGTACTTGTGGAGTACATACGGAATACATACGGGGTACAATGAAATTCGCTTCTTCTTCTTCTTCTTCTTCTTCTTCTTCTTCTTCTTCTTCTTCTTCTTCTTCTTCTTCTTCTTCTTCTTCTTCTTCTTCTTTAAATTTTTCTTTCCTTTTCTTTACTCTTTATTTTATTTTCTTTATTTTCTTTATTTTAATTTATTTTATTTCATTTGCAGCAGGAGTAAGCATTTACTCAGGCTATCGTCAGCAGCAAAACAGATGACATAACAAAGATCCAAGGGGAAATGAAGCCCTAACGTTGAGATTGACATGCTGCCACACCGTTATCTAACTGAGTTCGGTGCCTTCTCGGATGGCTAAACTGTATAGTTAACTCCGCACTGAGAAGCGATATACCACCAATCAGCTCTGCCTGGTGCCCGTGGTTAGTTCTGGCAGTTCCCAATCTCTGGTCACAGTGACGTGATGCGGTTTACTTCAACCCCTGAATTCGATGTTGATCTCGCCTCTCCCAAAGATAATTATACCACTTTCTCCACACGCATCCATGGATGTAACAACGGCATAATGACGCTGTATCCCTTATTTGCATCTGTTGCTTGGCGGATTCATTTGAAGGCGGGGAAGGTAATGTGGAAGCTGCATATAAATTTCTCCATCATCGTATTCGATCCCCGGCAAAGTGGAAAACCTGTGTTGTTGAACTGTTAAAGCCCCGCATAATAATAACCAGTCAGATTCTCGCCACTAGACATTCGGTTCCGGCCGCAGTTTTAAAAGGAATGAAATGGACCAAGACCCACCCAGCACGAAATGTCCTCCTTTATTTATATTTTACTTTTGCCACTCCTTGAGGTTATCAATTCAACTGCATAAAAAACGTCATATGCCAAGTGGACAATGTGACGATGGATTCTTCAGGATCTGCCGCTCAAGCCACCATCAAGATGTGTTGCACCAGCACTGACAAAGACAAAACAACACATTGATTGCTGTACTCTGTACTCCGTCCCTAGGAAATCTCCGGTACGCAAGACAAACTTGCCGTGTTTGACCATCACATTTGCGCAATTCGACCGTGGAACGCAGCCCAACATTATTCATACTTCTCAGTTGTTAGTGGATACTGCGGGCTCCCCTAATCATGTGCCTCCCCCTATACATTTAGTTTAGAATTCGGGCCAGGTAGTTCACGATAAACAACACGCCAACGTTAACTATCCTCCCATTTTCATTTGACACATTAATTTCAAGCTGGAACCCACGTGGGGGCAAGCGAAACTCAAAACATTGGGGGAGGGAAAGCAAAGAAAATACAACAAGTGCATCAACACTGGGCGCTGTTAGAGTAAGTGAGGGCATGGCATCATATATGGATCATGGGGGGGGGGGGATTCATGGCCGAACAGCGATCCACAGCTACGCAGCCACTGATAGTGCCCGTCACCCCGTCTCACTGCAAGCTCCGTCCAATGGCAATGCGTGATATTGGGCTGCTGCTCCGTGGCCAGAAGCCAATCAGAATGAATGCATTTGCTCCTTGAATCCTTTGACTTCCAGGGAGTTATCAGAGAGTTTTTTTCTGGGCAGATGCCCCGACGCAACGTCTTCTTTGCCTTTTGATGACGACATGACAACTGTTGTGAATTTGGGGTCTGTCATGAAAGGGGGTGCTGAGCCCGAGAAGAATTGACCAATGACAGTTGTTTCTGGCCAAAAAATGTTCAATCGCCCAAAAAATAAACCTCGGAATGCATCACTATTCTCTTCGAAATTCTTATGGTTTGTGAACTTCCATCGAAAGATTTAACATAACTGAGGAAGTGGACAATACAACCTGCCGTTCAAAATCCTGTAATCTGCGACCAGGGAGTTCCTGAATTGACCAGTGTGGAGATCACTATGTATCTACATCAATCAATAAGGAGTATATATCATCTATATTAATTGTTATCGCAAATTTTTGAGAGTAACAAGAGGGTAGTTAGTTATCTTGGATTTCCCCCATCCGCTCCCCCTCATCGACAAACACAGACAGAATGGATGAAAACGACGAGCAGAATTGGAGGAAACGAGAGCTATTAAGAGGTGCTAAGTTCTGCAGCTTGTTCTTCCAGACAACCGTTAACGGATACCAATATTTGCAACGTCAACAGTTAATTCACAAATGGAGATAGTACTACCAATTCCGATTTCGATTCATGCCGGTCCATTATTCGCCGGACGATCCCAGAAATATTTCAGTTCTCCAACGAGAGACGCGAATTCGCCCATGTGGCGACAGCAGGTGTCCGGGCCGGACGAGATATCTGCGGGTGGCGATCGATGGGAGCAGTGATCATGTGCCTGACTGAAAGAAATAACCCCGGTAAGCTGCCAGGGGAATTCCGTCGAGTATCCATGATGTGCTTCCGTCTGGTACTCAATATCCATACTGGAGGACGAGCCATAAACCGGCACTTGCAATCATTCACTCCCCTTGGATTTTCCGTGGTTCTTTGGCGAGTTTGCTGGGAGGAGGAGCCCTGACTTGCCTAGTCTGCGGTTTTTCAGTGTAACTAACAGGTGTACGTCGACATCGCAAGGTGCGGTTCAAAATTTTATATATATGTACTTTACACATACATTCAGCGGTTGAAAAGTATCATCTTCATTTATCGATGTATTGCGCTGGCCGTCAACCCCTTTTCTCGAACACCAAAACCACCAGAATGGATTTGGCTACTTTGGCTCTGAGGAAAATATTTAAATCTGGAGGGGCCACATAACTACTGCGCTCTTGGAATGACGGGGTGGGCCTAGTTTGCACGGTGACCAATAATGGTTAGATTCTTAGCTGGAAAATTGGGAGGGACGTAGAGAACCAGGTCCTATTGGGATCTGATGATGCATGGATAACTGCTCTTCTCTCGTGGCAGCTTCAGGCCGCCTTTTTTAAACGGTCGACCAAAACAATGCGCAACTAGTTGATTTGTTCTCACTATTTCAACTCAGGTACAAATAGCTTCTTGGGTGCTTTTAGACGCAGTTTGGCCCCCCCCCAAAAAAAAAAGGATACTCCAAACTGTTTTCTGGACATCCTTTCAATCCATTCCTCAGATCCCTCCATAGTTCAGCGAAACTTGACATGGTATTCCATCATCAGTTTATACAGCCTCGTCAGGCCGCCAGTTGAGAAGTTCTGTAGTTAGCTGGGAACAGGAGGAGAATGGACGCATTATCCTACCTTCTGTCGATCCCCGATTGGCTCTAATATTACAGGTGTGCCGGGGGGGTACTATACGATGTACAAGTTCATCCTCTGCTAAGGGAACGTTCATAGGACACACCAAGAATACATTCTTGAGAAAGCTTTGTGTTCCCGATGGTGGGTGGGTTCAGAATGCTGTCATGACTGGGGACGACGACAGCCGCTGGAGTGAAAATACAAAAGTATGATAAGTTTGATGTTGTCAGGAAAGCTATGAGACACGTAGTGCTCTAAGGCTCTAATAACGACTATGATCTTATTTAAGGGAATTAAATATGGTGACAAAAAGAGCCAATGCAAGCTTCCCTTCCTGTGGAAGAAAATGTATATAGATACGGGACACCAGCGTCTGAATCAAAAGGAAGATATGAGCAACTCCATTTTCGTGCACAACAGTATGGGTCAAGTTAAACAAAAAGACGACAATCGGCGGTATTCTATCAACAACCAGATGCCAAGAAAATCCAATTGAACCATTTCAAACCTGGGTCTCATGCCGAATTTGCCAAGCAAAGCAAGAGATGGAAAGAGCAGCTATGCTGTCCCAAGCAGGTTGTAGATCACGACCGGAGGGCAATATATATAATGGATACATATATATACATATGTATGGAATGCAAGGAGTAGGAATATGGGGGATGATAAACACGGGTTCTATACCAACATCGGAGAACGACTAGGAAAAGGAAGAAAACGCCGAAACATGAAGTAGTACAGTACAACGGAGTCAAAACGACCATCCTGAAAACAAACGGATTAACCAACTCCCTCTTATTGCAGAACAATCGTTCCAGTCTCCTGCTCAATCTTATCCTCCTTCTGCCGCCAAACCCTACCCTCCTCACTGAGCCTATACAGCTTGGCATGGTACGCGCTATCCTCGTCTTCCTCCTCGAATGTCAGACTACGCTCCCTGCGTCTCTGGCACGCTGCGTACATCTGTCTCGCCTGCTCGGGACTATCAAACTGGGTAAATGTATACTCGAGATCCCATTTGTCCTTTGTGCTGAAAGCCACTGGTCGTTCGACATACCTACCATTTACCTTGTTGCGGATGGTGATGGCAATGGCGAATAATTCTTTATTGGCGGGATCTTCTGGAGCGGTAGCATTACTAGCAACATCTTTAAGGCTGAGGTCTCCGAGGGTTTCTGACGAAGCTGTTTCAGCTTCATCTTCAGCTTCATCTTCGGCTTCATCTTCAGCTTCAACTTTAGCTTCGACTTTAGCGCGATCAGGCTCATCTTCCTCTGAGAACAATAGCTTCTTCTGTATAGCCTCGATCTCTTCTTTATTGCGGTTTTGAATCCCATTGATTTGTTCCTCCGTCATGGGCTCTGCGAAGACGTACATGAGCGGTGTTTTAGTGTCGCGAGTTTCAAAGTGGAAGCGTATTGACTGTTTCGGAAACTTTTCAGTCGCCTTGGCCAGTATCCTGTCCCACAGGGAGACACTGAGCTGAAACTCTGTATCCCCAAGAACTGTATCCGTTTGGCCATGAAGAGCCAAATCCATCTCAGGCAGGCTGACGTACTGGAATCCGAAGATGCGTTTGATGTTGTGGAAAGCAACAAATATACCATCCATACGCCCAACACGAACTTGTAGGGAGTATTTCATGAAGGCTGCGCGGATCATATCAAAGTACTCTCGCTCAAACGACTCGAATATTCCAAATCGGCCTTTAATCTGGTATCCAATTCCACGATCGTAGTTCCTTGTGTTCATCCGGATGGACACCACAGCACGCGTTTTCAGGTCAAACATGCCGGTGCCTGGAAGTCGGGGGTCATGGGCGTCGAGTTGTGCCCTCATCAAGAAGTTCCCACAGGTGCTGTAATGGAAAGACTCAGGAGCTACAGATTCGGGTGTAACTTTGTCGCTACTGGATTTTCGGTATCGCTCGAACTCTTCAGTCGGCATCGTGAGTAGCTTTTCCATAGATCTGCCAAGGTTCATGAGAATGTTGGCGCTGTCGAATTCCTTGTCGGCATCAATAGCGTAGACTCCATCCTTGTAACGTAAGAAGACTGCGGAAGGTGCCCGCAGGATCCGCGTGACGTTCACGGCCGGTTCATAAAAGCCCTGGGAGACATAACTGGTATTCAGGGGCCGCCAGGCAGAGAGTAGGAAGTGGAAATGCGATAGAACAGAGGTCATGCTGGAGGAGGATCCTATGTATCTCTTTTCGTGACGCAGGGCTAAGTCGCGCAATGTCTCAT